ATGGCGTACTACGTGCTCGCGGTCGCATTGATGCCACCAGCTGGCTTCCGATCTACACGAGGCGCCCCATAATATTGCCACCCACTCACGCATATACGACGTTAGTCACAGCACATCATCACGTTCTCAGGGGCCATCAAAAGTCTGAAGCTACTATATGCGCCATCCGCCGCGTTTACTGGGTACCTCGGCAAAGGACGCTCCTGCGCAACGTCATCGCCAGCTGTAATGTATGCCGCCTCCGTCAGGTGACACCGGTTCCACCACTAATGGGGCCGGTTCCCATCGATACACTGGCATGGACTATTTTGGACCCCTCAACGTAACAGTATGGCGCAGCACCGAAAAGCGGTGGGTGGCACTTTTCACCTGCCTTACCACACGAGCAGTGCACTTGGAAATGGCACACGACTTGAGCACTGACTCCTGTATCATCGTCCTTTGCAACTTTGTTAACCGCAGAGAAGTGCCTGTGAGGATGAGATCCGATAACGCGAAAAACTTCGTTGGCGCCAATAATGAGGCCAAACGATTTACTGAAGTTTTCGACTGCGTGCGTGTGCAGGGTGAATTGTCGCAACGAAGCATCGATTGGGTATTTAACTCGCCGCTTAACCCAGCTGAAGGAGGCGCCTGGGAGAGGATGGTGCAATGCGTTAAGCGAGTGTTGCGTCAAACGCTCAAAGAAGTCGCCCCACGTGAGTACACACTCAATTGCTTCCTGCTCGAGGCGGAAAACGTCGTCAACTCACGGCCTCTCACGCACCTGCCATCTCTCCCAACCAAAAGCAGCCGTTAACGCCGAACGATTTCCTGCTGGGGTCAGCCAATGCTGCGCATACGCCCAGTGTGACCGAAATACCATCCAGTCCCCCTGCTATCAGCAGTGGCGTATCGCTCGTCAACTCAGAACCCATTTCTGGAAGAGATGGGTGCTGGAGTATCTCACGACTCTAACACGTCGTGAGAAGTGGTGTCAACCAACAAAACCGTTGAAGGAAGGGTACTTAGTATTCCTGTGCGCCCCTAACGTTCCAAGAAGGCAATGGTGTCGAGGCGTGGTGGAGCAGTTGTATCCTGGCAAAGATGGTGAGACACGACAAGTTGATGTGCGCAAGGGAACTGCAGGCTGCCGTCGCAATCATCGCAGTCGCTGTCACAACCACCGCGACTGCTCTCATTGCCACGCTCTTCGCTACGACTGACGCGTAGCACTGCCAACCTTGCTGTCAGCAGTAGGGAACTGTAGGCTGCCGTCGCAATCATCGCAGTCGATGTCACAACCACCGCGACTGCTCTCATTGCCATGCTCTTCGCTCCGACTGACGCGTAGCACTGCCAACCTTGCTGTCACCAGTAGCGCTCCCGTCGCCGTACAATTACCCACCGAATAATCTTCGACACCGACTGCCGACTCTCTCTCTTTATCTCCCTCTCTCCCCTGCACGACAAGTTGCCGGTATTCTAGATAGCCGCGTGCGTGTGTGGGTGTGTTCGACTTAATACACAAATCATTGTGTTTTATTTGGTGCGGGTTAGTGGGACTTTCGCTGGACTCTGGATCGGCTGAGCATACCTCAGCTTTCGACAAAACCCACCTCATAAGGTAGCCCAAGATCTTGCATGCCCGTCAGAAACGAATTCTAAGCACTAAGTTTACCTAATTTCAGCAATAAGGACATTGTGACGGTTAGACTGGAGGGCCGCCCTCACAATCGCAGCGTGAGATCATAGCCGTTGCGATACGAAGGAAAGCCGATGTTATTATTGGATCGGATGCAAATTCGAAGCAATCGTGTTGGTGAAGCTCAGACATCAACTACATCAAGATATCACTACAAGAGGTCCTTGACCTTGCCCTACTCTCGTCTTCTGTAAAATCCCGTATTTCCAATTGGAGAGTTCTTGATGCTTGCTCCTCCGACCATTCAGTTTACCCTAGACGAAGATCATTATGGAGGTATCCCTTTTAGCGGTTTTCGGATAACAAATTGGGACCTATATAGCAAAAAACTGCAGGAACCAAATCCCATGAAGCCCAGGGGGCTTTCACCCTTCCTCAGGATAGTCGTGATAAACAACGTCCTGGAGGAGTTGGAAACGAAAGGATGCCATGTTATTGCCTACGCGGATGATGTGGGACTCATCGTCAGGGGAAAGTTCGTGGCCATTCTGTATGATATGCAAGGGTTTCAAAACTTGGTAACAGATTGTTCTGCTAGTTGCGGACTTACTAAAAATCCTGGAAAGACGGAGTTCGTGCTATTCACAAGGAGGCACAAAGTCCCTCATGCCCAGGCTCGCTCAATAAGGAGTGTTTCAGTTGTTCTTTCTGACAGGGTCAAGTTCTTGGGCGTGATCCTGGACGAGGAGTTATCAAGAAAGCCAAATATTGAGGAGCGAGTAAAAAACGGCATCTTTGGCTCTTTACTGCTGTAAAAATATCATAGGGAAGAGTTGGGGCCTCTCTCCAAAAGTGATATACTGACTATATGAAACCATAATCAAACCAATCGTGTAATATGGGGTCATTGCCTCACTGGAAAAGTCTACTCTTGTTATGAAGCTAGAGCGCGTGCAAAGGACAGGCTTCGTTGGAATTAGCGGAGCGTCCGAACCTCTCTTACTGTAGCGCTAAATGCTGCAGGTAAATATGTATGATGGACAAGTGGCAATCAGGGCACTGTGATCGCTAATGGTACGATCGAAACTGGTCGGGAAATGTCTGAACTCTCTCTTAATTGCCTCGGAATCAAGCAAATTTGGGTCTCAGAAAACAGTAATATTGCTGCAATTGTAGTGCTGAACTGGCTAGGAAGGACACCCTCGATGCCATCACTTTGGATAGGGAGGGCATATCAGTTACGTTGGTAACCTGCGGCCTGCTCATGGACAAATAAGCGCACGTGGGCTTAGCGGGTGCTGGGCGAAAGTCCCGACATGTAATGTTGGCCGGTTGTTGACCGCAGGCGGTAAGGGAACTTCTGTAACTGGCTAAGCGCCAGCTCTCGATTCTTGCAGGTGTACTGACTACGGTTTAAGCACCTCGGTGCGCATTTCATTCCGAAAAGCGCTCCGGAATGGACATTAGTTGCCTGCCTGATCTTCTTCGCTGAAAAGTTAGTAGCAATTTCTATTATCGATGAAACGGTCATGCGACCGTGGCGAAGGCACGAACTTACAGACCTCAACAAACACTTAACTCCGGACAGTCATGTGATGTCCTCTGACGTCTCCTGGCTTCTCTCCTCATCAGGATATGAGTATGTATGTACATACACATGCATGTAGGCCGACGTCAGCTTAAGAACCAGCTTTCCTCTAATCACATCAGACGACATCTTTTTAACAAAAAAAAAAAAAAACATTGAGATCCCCCTGGTGTACGGCTAGGTTTGAATTTATGCACTGAGGTAGAGATTCTGCTTCAGATGTAAGTAGAAAACACATCTTCAGCTTGTGAAACAACCCTGCTAAACTAATTACCTTAATTCCTTGCCCTCAAATTAATTCCGCGATCTTGCTTTGAACGGAGCGTGCTGAAGCAGCATGTTTTCTGGGACTACTCTCAGTTGAGCTTGACGCCCATAACCAATGGTTTAGCCGATCTATGCAATGTTAAGAAAGCGGCTACAACAAAAATTTAGGTTCCAGGTCTAATTTGGAGCCAACGCATGTTTCCTGGGACTACCCTCAGTTGAGCTTGACGCCAACGACCAATAATTCGGAGCGATCGGTGTAAAATCATGATAACGCTTCCAGACGCCTTACGAAGATCCTTGTGTATAATAAGTTTCCGAGAGCAAAAGGCAAGACTGTGTACCAGAAAAAGTTTGCCATACACCCCTGAGTCGTGAAGTATTTTTGCAAGGAAATTTCGATTTTTTTAATTTTTCGCCATATTTTCGGCATTTACAGTCGAAAAAAAATTTTTTTGTTACAAAGTTCATTGACCTCAGGTAGCCCTTTCTAGCAATTACCGACCAGATCTCAGTTCGTATCACCCTAGCGTACCACCAAAATGTCAGTAAGTTAAAGTTCGTTAGATATCATTACACTTTTGCTAAGGAAGTAGGTGTCACCGAATAATATAAAAAGAAAACAAATAGGTTCGGCCAAATAAAAATTTTTTTTTCAGGAATTTTTTGATGTGGCTTATAGGCGACAAAGTGAAAATCAGCTGAAAAGGAAAGCAGAAAACCAAAATGTTTTCGCTCTTGGCTAAATTGACGTGTTGAGTAATCATTAAAGTGGTCCAAAAATGTATGTAAAAAAAATAAGGTCGGATTTTTAATGCCGCCACCCCCTAGGATTGTTATATACCGAAAAAAATATACCCATATTTTTTTATTTTGAAATAAAAAATAATTTAGGTAGTGCTCAAAGCGCTCAAAGTTTTCCATGTATTTTATATGGAGAAAAAAACATCTTTTCGTAGAAATAGTGTAGACTTCTTGAAAATCAATATTTTTCGATCGGAAAACTTTACTTATCTTCAGGAGATTCCCAGTAATAATACTCAATTGTTTCTTTAACAATTTTTTCATGGTAACTATATTTTATAGGTCCTCCAAAGCCCTTAGAAAATGCAATGGGGGGGTCAATAAAAAATCTTTAATCATAAAAAATGGTTAAATAAACAATTGGATATTAGTCTCCTGAAGAGAACCATAGTTTTCCCGTCGAAAAATATTGATTTTCAAGAGTTTTATACCATTTCTACGAATAATTGTTTTTTCTCCATATAAAATACATGGAAAACTTTGAACGCTTTGAGCACTCCCTAAATATTTTTTGATTTCAAAATAAAAAAATAGGGGTATATTTTTTTCGATATGGATCAATCCTAGGGTGTGCCGGCATTAAAACTCCACTTTATTTTTTTGGACCACTCTAGTAATCATTGACGATTTGTTACGTTAGTTAAGTTAAGTTTATGTAGAGTAACTGAACCTTTAATGTACTTTTTAATTTTACTTTTAATTTTTTGTTTTGTTTTTTATTACTTTTATTAAAACCGCTATGCGTTTACAATCCAATCGATACGTTTTTTGTTCTGTTTTGTTTTATAATTTTCGTCCGGAAGGAATCAAAAATTGTTGATCTGCGAGAATATATTTCGTAGTGTTGGCGTTACACTTTTTACTTAACCCATGAAATTTAGATGTTTGTTCACTTGTTCGGCTGTGGCACATGTTGGTATAGCGTTCGACCACTTGCCGTTTTTCAAACATTTTAGCACCTTAGCGCCACGTAACTCCAGCCCGGCATCACAAGTGAATGTAACACTTTCCCCAATTGCATAATAAAACTTGACCGATGACATGCGACCGCTGATAACGGTACCTGGAGAGAAATTATAGAAAACTATGTAGTAGGAGAAAAAAGAGGTAAGTTGATATTGCAAAATTCTACCAGGATAAGAACAGGCCTGCACACATTTTGGCAATCCACCCGACCAACGTCCATTATCTTGACAAGCTATGATCGGCTGTCCTTGCATCATATACTCAGGATTACAATTGAATTGCACGACATCTCCAGCACGATATGGAGCCGATCCTTGCGCATAGCCATTAAGTGGTGCGCCGGGATTATCACACTGCACCTCCACGCAAGTGGGAAAAGGTGTTGCCCATTCGCCAGTCGGCAAGCAGATGGCTTCAGCAGGGCCGCGCAAACCATAGCCCGAAGCGCATGAAAATGCCGCTCTTCCGCCCACCTCACGCGATAACACCGCAACTCGTGGTGAACTTATATTGTTCGGCAATGGAATATCACCGCATTCGACACTTTCACACACTGGCAACGGGGCACTCCAATTGCCGCTGGGCAAACAAAATAGCTCTGATGCGCCAATCAATGAATTTCCATTTGCGCAGGAGAGTAGAACGCGTGTACTTAATTTGGTGTCATTTGTATTTACAATTAGACCACGACGCTGTGGAATCTCTGGGCAATTAATTGCTTTTACAACCACTTCCACTGAGTGTTCATGTCGAGCCGGCGTTTGACAGGAATAAACTCCAGTATCTTCATCAATTGCATTAAATATAGTTAATCGATATTCTAGAGTAGCATCACGACCTTCATCCGCTTCGGTGACCCAGCCTTCGGAGTAATTTCTATAAAAATAGTAATGAAAGATGATTCATTCAGTCCTGTGAATATCGGCACCAGTTTTCCAGTGCAACTTCATTCTTGGTCATTTTATGCTGCTCTGGAAACCCAATCGCAAATATCTTGAAACAAATTACCTGAATTCATGGCTAACATTCCATTTTGGATTTCCAAACCGTCTCATCCAAAGACATTCCATGTGCAGAGTTGTACCCGGATAGACAATAAGCTTGCCGTCATTACTCTGCGCTATCGGCCCATTTTGATGCCTGAAGAGTATAGTTGGCGCCTTTTCCACTGTAAAGCGAAGATTTAATAAAAATTGAGATTTGTCTTTTTTTTGTTATTTCCATACTAGCATAGTCGTTTTCCTGATTCAATCCATGACATGCTGGCTTATTGCCCGTCCATTCAGAATGAATGCAGGTTCTTTCACTACTGCCGACCATTGAGAACTTTCCAATATCCACACATCTAGATGTACAAGAGGGGAATTGAGCTATAAATAGTGTGGTTATACTAACATAAGTGTAAAAATTACATAATAGGTGTGATTTTTGATTTCTTATGAATGGAAAATATTAAGATTTTCTTATTATATAAGAGTAGATTATTATTAAGAGGGAGTATACTGAAAATAAAATCTGCGTAAATATAACGAAACCTTGCGTACATTTTACGAAGGTTTTCGTAATTTTGAGCCACGAAAGTTTTCGTTGATTGTACAAAACCGTTTTCGTACATACTACGAAAATATGAGACATCGGATCTTAGTACATTTTACGAACGAATTTCGTACTACTTACTAAAGTATTTCGTACTACTTACTAAAGAATTTCGTACTATTTCTTTATTTTTTTTACGAAATTTTTGTAAAATGCAAAAAATAGTTCGTATATTTAACGAAATTATTTTCCTAAAATCTGCGGTTGTTAAGTAGAACTTCCGATTGCTTTCATTCACCACACTGTAAAAAACATAAGACGAATTATAACACAACACTTATTTTGTTTTTATTCCTAATATTAAGCGGTTTTCTTTAACAAAATGTTTTACAATGTTTTTATGTGGAGGGGCTTGCCGTTGATAGCTAACTGATGAAATTGCCTATTTATGAAGTCCCACATTGCAGAGCTCAGCGTGGGCGATGTTAAAAACATTGTATGCTTAAAAGCATTTATCCACAGCCTTAAGATTTAATTTTATATTGTATTTTTATCCAGCAAAAGCTTCTTAAAACTTTTAAAATTATATTAGACGTTTCACAGCAGCCAACTAGTAATTTTGCAATGACACGCGATACATAAAAATATGATGAAATATTAAACTGCCGGTAATTTAGTATATTGTACGAAAATATTTGTCTGTTGTACGAATTAAAAAAAAATGTTTCTACATTGCTCATATATGCCTTTGTTAGTTTGACTGCAGGTACTACAAAAATATATTTCCTAGTCACGCGCATTTTGAGTAGCTCAATTTGCAACTAACTAAAAATGGTGGAAAGTAAAATCCGAAGTAATAAATTGATACGAAGCGAGGAGATAACAAGGTTAGGTAGTGAAAAGCTACGTATTCAGCATCTTAAGTTGTAGCCAGTGTTGCCAGGTCTTCGGCATGAGAAAACGTCCCTCTTGGTCTGAAAAAACGTCATTTCCTACCCAAAAACGTCTTTTTCAAATGAATGTACAAAAAAGTGTTCTTATTTAAACTTTTATTGTATACAAAGGTACATATCGAGCCCTAACCGCCAAAATAACGTAAGCGTAATTTTTTTCAAAATTTTCTTGTTGATGCAGAAATATTCCTAGAGCATCGAGATGCATTTCTGCATCAAAAAGAAAATTAAAAAAAAAGTCGCTTACGTTATTTTGGCGGTTAGGGCTCGATATGTACGTAAGATATATTAAAATATCATTTCGACAGAGCACATTTAAAATTCATTGTAAACTGGTTTGAGATCGTTAATATAAAAATCATTTTATACATACACTTGTGATCAGCTGATTAAGTCATCAACATTTTGATCGATTTTGGCTGTTTCTCTTTCGTTTATTTAATCTTTATTATTTTTCCATAAAAGCCAAGCTCATTAGCAAACCAAATATAAATCCACAAAAATTGTGCAAAAATTATAAACAACCTGCAAATTTTCAGCTAGATTTTTAACTTTCGTTTCAGATTTTTTAGCCCATTAAATTTCAGGGCAATAATGTGCAAGTTTAAAGGGGCTAAATAATCGCGTTGATTTTTAATATATTTTTTTTTTTTCTTGTAGAAATTTGGTTAGGGGCTCGGTTATCGAAAATGCTAAATTACGTTCTGCTAAGAAGGAGCATAGCAATAGGTCCATTCAGTATCAAAAAATCGTTACGAATTGTTACTAGTACCTGCAAGTTTTTACTGGAAATGCATTCAATAACCCAAAATATTTGCAAGAGGGAGCGAATTCGAGAGCGTAACAAGCCGAGAGAGCTGCAAATTCTTGCAAGTAAAAATTTTACTAGCAGGAATTTGCAGGAGTCTAAAAGTAAGGTTATGTTTCAAATTCAAATGTAAACAAACTGTTTAAGAGGATGATTTGATGAAACATAATTAGTGAAATGAAAATATGGATAAAAAATTTAAATCTATTGTATATTTTTTTTATTTTTATGACGATGGGAACTATTCCCAATTAAAAAGAAAATTGCGCGCCAAAACTTAACCGTCAGAAAGTGTCAAAATGGCTTAAGTTGCAAGTTTTTACTAGTTTTGCGTTCAATAACTTTTTCTGAAAATTTCTCTTGCTCTCAATTTTACTCTCTATTTTCAATAGGGCAAAGTCAACAGGTGACTGGACCGCCTACAAGTCAGCCCTAACCGCTTACAACTGTGAGCTCAGAAGGTCTAAAAGGGCTACGTGGCGTGAGCACTGCGGAAGTATTTCCTCTCTTCCAGAGGTGCATCGCCTTCAGAAGGCCCTTAAACTAGATCATCTGAAAGTCCTATGCACTTTGAAAAGACCAGATGGTACCTACACTGTTACCCCGGAAGAAACCAGCAGGCTTCTGCTAGAAACCCACTTCCCGGGATGTATTCCCCAAGGCACATGTCTTTCAACAAACACGGCGAACGCTGTGTGCGCAAACAGGAGAACAAGAGGCCTAGCAGGAACAATCGTCAGTGTGGAAAAGATATCGTGGGCCATTTCAACCTTTAGTGCATATAAATCCCCTGGTCCAGATGGTATCTACCCATGCCTGCTGCAGAAGAGATTGGGCTTAATATCTGGGCCACTAGTCAGATTGTTGAGAGCAAGTCTCTTACTTGCTCACATACCAACAACATGGAGTGAAGTCAAAGTGGTCTTTATACCCAAAGTGGGGAAAAACTAAGCACAACTCCCAAAGGCGTATAGGCCAATTAGCCTCAGTTCCTTTCTAGTAAAGACATTAGAAAAACTTATTGACTTTCACATAAGGGATAACTTTCTCAGGAATAAGCCTCTGTGTCAGAGTCAGCACGCATACCAGGCAGGCAAATCTACTATTACTGCAATACATAGCCTAACTCAAGTCATTGAAAAGGCATTGCGGTATAAACAGATAGCTTTGTGTGCATTCCTGGACATATCAGGTGCTTTCGACAATACGTCTTATGAAGCAATATCGACAGCTATGATACGAAAGGATATTCCTGTCCTTCTAACGGATTGGATCATAAGCATGTTGAGATCCAGAACCATAATGCGGAACTAGGAGACAACAGGCAAGCAGTAACTGCCACCCGTAGCTGTCCACAAGGGGGAGTCTTATCGCCCATACTTTGGACACTGGTTGTTGACGAACTTTTTGAAAAGCTAAATGGCAATGGATTCAAGGCGTATGGATATGCAGATGACCTAGTCATCTACGTTGTCGGCTGGCATGAGGACACAATTTGCTCCAGATTGCAAGCTGCGCTCAGTCTAACGGAAGACTGGTGTGCTTCAAAGGGATTGTCAATAAACCCGCAGAAGTCCACCGTTGTCCCATTTACCAATAGAAGGAAAGTCAACTTGACTAAACCCACTTTGGCAGGGACAGAAATTGAGTTCTCAGAAGAGGCGAAGTATCTAGGGGTAACTCTGGACAAAAGGCTCAATTGGAACTCACATCTCCTTAACATTACCAACAAGGCTACAAGGGCGTTTTATGCCTGCCAGAGACTCCATGGTAAAACTTGGGGAATATCACCCAAACTAACGTATTGGTCTTTCAATGCGGTCGTGAAACCTGTTGTCACATATGCGGCACTGGCCTGGTGGCCAAAAGCAAATAAAGCAAGTGCGTGTGCCACCTTGAGCAAGCTACACCGCTTGATCTGTGTGGCCATCATTCCCACGACAGCCGGTTCTACGTACCGGAATGACTCGGGTTTTACCCGACCAAGGGCTGTTGTTTCGGCGATCTAACCCCGTTTAGGTCGGCGAAATCCATCAAACGTTGCTCGATCCCAGGGCTACACCTTCTCCGCACCCTTCTGCTCAGGGCTGGCATAGAGTCAAACCCAGGGCCAGAAATCTACACCTGCTGCGTATGCCAGAGACGACTGCACACAAACTCCACTTCGGTCAGGTGCAATGCCTGTGACGGGTGGAGTCACCTTCGTAACTGCTCGGGCCTACGTACGCACCGGCAATGGACCACGTCGTTTGTGGCCCCATGCTGTGCGAACCGGACCGCCTCCACGGCAAACTACCACCCGCCTGGGCAGCACACAATCAACACACCCACACCCCAACAAAACACAGCAATAGACACACAAACAAACACAATAGCACCCACACACCGCCGCCGGCAACTCCTAGTCCCTCCGACAATCTGCTCTGACTGTCAGTCAAGAATATACCGTAACGTGACATCAGTCAAGTGCAACTCTTGCCTTGGCTGGTGCCTCTTTAGGGCATGCTCAGGGCTTCGCAACACGCGCGATTGGACGAGTGACTATGTGGGCCCCTGCTGTGCTGCCCCGTCGCATCCCTATCCCGCGACGCCGCCAACCACCACCACAAGGCAGCACCCCCTTCTGCAGCACGTACAGCAGGGGGCCGGCAGGCAACACAACTCTTTAACACCACACATCCCAATCGGTCTCCCAAGGCACACAAAGGTGCTACAATTTAACTGTAACGGACTCCAGAGCAAGATCGAGGAGATAACTGTCTTTATGGGTAGGCATGGAATATTAATAGCTGCGGTCCAAGAGACGAAGTTGCACGGAAATTCAACCCTGTTGAATTGCGCCGGATACAACGTGCACCGTCGAGATCGCGAACGAGATAATGGTGGAGGTTTAGCGTTCATCGCGCACCACACCGTGCAGTATCGTCTCATTGAAGCAGTTATCGACCGCAGGGATACCATCCTAGAATGTCAGGGTATTGCTATCCGGTCAGGCGATGTTGAGCTCGAAATATTTAACGTATACATATCCCCTGTCACCAGCTGCCC